CTAACCCTAACCCTAACCCTAACCCTAACCCTAACCCTTGTAAAATCTTGCCTGAAAAATTCTGCAAAAAGATACTCCAAATCACGTGGAAGACACCTGTATCAAGAAGTAATTGATGTATCCAAACTTTTAATACCCATACACAATCAGAAACATCATGATTTGTTGCAAATTCCCTCATTATTTCAAGGCGTGATTCTAAGAAAAGCAGTAAAAGATCAAAAGATTCAATAGAATACATTGTAGGTTCTATTGCTCGTATTACATCCTGTAGTGCTGTACCTAAAAGTAGAGTCTGCACAAATACTTCAGGAATTTCTCCAGCCATATGATTCCCAAAGGTATACATTAACTGCTTAAATAATTTTTCCCCCCATTTCACTCTTTGAAAATTAGCTGAAATTCATCAATTTGAAGAAAAATGAAAATATACTTGCCACGTTGAATCAGATTTTCATGTTCAAGGTTGTGGATGTATAAGAGGACATTACTCAATCTAAAACATTACTTATATTCATTGGATTTCGTACGGAACACTGTAAAACTCATCACATATTTTTTGTGGACCAAATAGTAGTACGCCAACCGCAATCCAAGAATGATTTCTGATGCAATTTTAATATCTTTCTGGATTTCATACTCATCTAAAGCATAACCATTAGTGAAATCAAGAAGCATATAAAGCATGTAAGGCTTTTGGCCTTTTGATATCTTCCATTTTTTGTCGAGACAATTAAACAATTCAACTCCATAACGTGTCTTTCCTAGTGAATTATAGTTTGAATTTTTTAATTAGAAGGCTAAAACCGCTTTATCTGCTGTAAAAACATACAAGAGAATGTATGAAAGTTACCTATGCCAGGTGCCCCACCGCATAAAAGGATTCGATAGTTTGTCTTTGCCATGGGAGTTTCTTTTTTTATAGGTTCTTGTTTATCTAAGGAATTACAAAAATTCCTGTCAATCACATCAATAGCTTGCTTAAGGTCACGTTGTTTTAGAGTCATGGGCTTGGGCTTATTATTGCCTACATTGTCTACGTCCATTTTTTTATGAATTCCCTCCAAAATCTTTTTTATGGCATCTTCGATCAACGTCACTATATTTTGTAAACAATAAGAAAGCACAGTGTATTAACAAATAGATACAGTGCAAGTAACTTATATGTATCAATAATGGTAGGCCAGAATACAAAGACTAAGACAACACAGGAAATTTAACTAGAGATACCGTACCTTGTGGAACGCCTTGATGAGAGAAACCTACTTTAACGCAAAAAAAAGAGATCAGAACAAACTCGATATTTTGTTACTGCGAATTTCTTGTTCGAAAGGTAAACCATTGGGAGACACTTACCGGTGGCGGGCGGAGGCGGTTGTATGACGATATGGATGTGATTAGGTGGAAATATATAACCAACTGGAAAAATCGTTCTAATCAATTCACCTGGGCTCAAATCTTCACCAAGTACTTGTTCAAGGTATGCATCATTACGAAAATTCTCGTTAAGTATTTTTAACTGCTCATTATCTTTTTTGAAAGGGGTTTTGAACTTCCATCACCTCAGTTTATTAGCTTCATTGTTGTTGGGCCATATTTGTTTCTTGAGATGTCCAAAGGTGAACTTTTTAATAGGGACATCAACTCCTTCAACGCGGGTCATTTTGCCAATGTCAACCGGAATGGCACTATTAATAGGAGTATCTAGAAAGTAACAATATAACGTAATGTTGGCCATATATTTGCAAACGCGGAAATCGAGAGTTAAAACAAGGTTAAAAAAATTAATAGTCCAGCAGTATAAAATAAAGACCTTTTTGTTGAACTGGCAGATAGGGAATTTTTCTCAAAGTTAGTTTGTACCTGGAATGGCGAAAGTACTCGAGATAGTGAAAAATAGTTTGACATCTTGATTATATTTCATATATATATATGTTTCCATAAAAGGGTGTTGACTAATTGCTACGAACTGTGACTGCGAATTGAGTCAGCGATGTGTCAAGGATCAAATACAAAATTATGAAAAAAATTTATTAATCAAAAATCAGCCACATGGCACATGTCATAATGTCACATGAGAGTGCCAATCAAAATAATTCCTGATCTGCGAAACTAATGTACTACGCAATATAAATTCGCTAATAAAAAAATCAAGACTACGCAATATAAGATATGAATATTTCGGTTATGACTGTGCATTTACAAGGAAGCGACTCAGAGCTTGCAAAGCCAATATCTATTTTTTTATTCAGAACTTTCGAGGACCTTATTAGACAGAGAACATAAACTTTTGGTGAGTTTTAATATTGCTAATTTATTTCTGACTCCGCGCGTATTCTATGCATATGAAATTCCGTTATATCAAGTTTTTTATTTATGCGACATGTGCGATGAACATTGAAAATTTAGATTATTTTTTATTTAAAACATTATTTGAGAAATTTTATACACTAATTAACTAAAACTTAAACAAAATCATCTATCCTACCCTGTTTTTGCTTTTCTTACTTCACTATTAGACATATTTTCAATAAAAAAAGTTCATGATTAAAGTGTAAAAAAAAAGATTTTGATTTATTTTTAGAGGTTTTACATATATTATTGCAATTTTCGAATTACTGAGAACAGTTTAAAAAGGAAAATAAAATAAAATAAATGATTTTTTCAAAAACCCACGAAAACAGTAAAATTTATTGCATTTTTAGATAGAGAAGGTGCGATTATAACCTGAAAATGTTAATTTTAGAGTAGAAAACTTACTTTTTTGGTAAGTTTGCATATAAGCGACTTTTGAGATTTTGTGTAACCTAAAAAGTTCTCTATAAGTAAACTTATCTAAGAGTTGGATTTTTCATCCTAAAATTAAGGTTTTCATGTTATAATCGCACCTTCTCCTTCCAAAAATACAATAAAATTTACTGTTTCCCTGGGTTTTTGAAAAAAATCATTTTTTTTATTTTATTTTCCTATTTAAACTGTTTTCAGTAATTTGAAAATTGCGATAATATTTCCAAGCAAACAATCTTATTTAGGAAATTCTATTTATATTACAACCTTATAAAGTGTTCAATATTCAATATTTTCAACATTCCTAGTCAAAAAAATTTCATCTGAGTCTTTAAAGTTTGCGTATTCCACTAAAATTTCTTAAAAGGTCATCACACTTGCTGCTAATTTTATTGGTTTAAAACTGTGAATCGTCACGTATTCTGGTAAATCGAATAATTTTTAATATAACTGATTGGTTATTTGTTCTATTATAGCTATTATCAAGAATTTACTAATAAGTATTAGTTATTTACTAATCTAGTAGTATATAAATGGGTTATCATCCGAAGGATGATGCCCCATTTATATACTAAACTAGATCAGTAAATAACTTTTTTATCATCCTAGATATACTAATTGGTCCGCCAGTTTATAACTGGCGGAAAAAATCCTAAATACCAATTAGTAGCCAGGTGATAAATTCCGTTATATCAAATTTATTTTAATATATGTGATTTGGTTCTAGAAAAAAGGTCTGGTATAAGGCCAGTTCCAGTTTATTGAGGTTTTGTTATATCAAATTTCACTGTATATATGATACATAATATCTACTGACAAATACAAAGACAAACTTTTAGCAATGATGTTGAAACATTGCATTATAATATGTATTTATATGAGAATTAAACTTGAGTTTAACAAGATAAGACAAAATTTGTTATTCGTGTTATTAAACAAGATAACAACAATTGTCAATGACGAAGTTGTAGTAGTTTACTAACTTCTTTTGCAGCAATTTAATAATGAAACTTGTAAAAATCTTTTCGATACGCAAATGTGATATTCAACTCTGAGCTAGTGCTTCATTTTTGCCTTTTAAAATTAGCATTAACAACAATAGTTTTTAATTTTGCATTAGGTAATTTTACTTTTGAACAGTTGTCATATTTTATTTAGTCATTGCACACGTGATTATAAGGTCTGTGTAATTAGAATTTTTGATCTTGATACTATAAATATTTACCCGATGTATGCATATGTATGAATATCAGAAAAATAAAAAAGTACTGTATGTACATAGAAAACATACAATATATAACAATGCAAATGCAAAATATTAAATATCAAAATATTATTTTTTTTATAATTTTATTAGTAAAATATTTAAAAATTTTTTATTAAGGTCTAATAATAAAGTATAATGATAATTTGTGTAACTAGTCCATTTGACATCATTTTGCAAAGTTTAAAAATCTAAGAAAAAATTATTAATTTTTTTTCTTAAACACGTAATTTTAATTTATAAAATTAATTAATGTAAAGGTATAAATTGTTAACTAATGGTATAATTAAACTAAGTGTAATTAATAATAATTACTATATTAAAAATATTTGATTTTAACTGTAATCACCAGGGACAACAACAGCACAACCTTTAGTACTCTTTCCAGTTTTGCACTTTTTGGTGTCAGTGCAGCAGCGAATGCAGAATGTGTTAATATCAGGTTCAACTAAGTTCACGAAATTTTTAAATCCTTTGCATACTGCACCAGAAGGTACTTTAGTATCATATTAACCGCCTCTATCACTTTTTTTCAATTTGTACTTAGTTCTGTCAATGGTACCGGTTATTTGAACAAACTCTTTTCCTTTAGCAAAGTTAGCAGACTTAATGAAACCGTTGGGAAATTTTTTGGCTTCAGGTGCATTGACAGGATTAGCCTCAGTGCAAAATGTTATAGCATCGTCTTCACTATTCCTGATTTCTTCCCTATACGTTTTTGGAAGAAACGAGCAGAATACTTTTTCACTTTCCACCATTACAGTTCGAGGTGTTGCGCGTTTTAACCATAAAGCGGTGGTATGGGCAGATGCAACGATTGCAAAAATAATAATAAGTGTAGATAATTTAGCCATTTGTATTAATGAATTGATTAAAGCAGAATTAAATTAATTTTATTTAAATAAATTTTAAATAATAAGATTAGCTTTAATTCCTTTTTTTTTGAATTTTTGAGAAAGTTTATATAGAAAATTACTGTCAAAAGGAATTAGAATATTTTTAGACAAGACCTTTTTTTGTTGATATTAATTGCATCTGTATGTTATCTATATTTAGTTAAATAGTGTATACATTGACGAATTAAGATCTCTGAGCATTTAATTAGTATATGATTTGTAAGGAACTTTATGTTCTAATTTTATATCTGAATTTAAGGCCATTCCAAATTAATTTTTAGTTTAACTTCTCCCCTCTATTTTTGAAAATTTTAAAATAATTTAAACACGTGTTTACATATGTTTAAAGCGCCCCCTCAAATTGGATGTACCGATTATTTCCTATTTTACCAAAATCTTAATATCATAATTGTTTAAATTATTCTTCCCAAATTTAAACTAATTATTAGTTTGGAATGGCCTAATTGCCCACCAAATTATAATACAGAAAAAGAAGAAAAAATAATACAATTATATAAAATAATTTGTTTCCAAAAATAAAAATAGATATTGATATTCATTTTCTTAAGAAAATTTCAATTGCTGATCTTTAAAATCTTACGTAAATTTTTTAGCAAATTTTATGCATTAATGTTATTATTTTTAGTAAATAAATAATTTTACAAGTAAAAAATTAAATACATTTTTGTGAAAAGTTTCATGAAATCATTACCACCAATAAATCTTTAGTTCATTTCAGATTTCATAAAACTACCTTACCTGATAATACACTTCATGTAAATCTCATCAAATAACCAATTACCTACATCTGCCAATAATTTTGTGAATTTTAGTAATTAGGATACAAAATAAAAATAGCAGTATTGTACATGGGACATTGTATGTCTAGAGATTTTTTTGTGCCAAATAATCCATATCTGCATCTATAGTCCAAACACAGACAAGCTGCTAACCAACCTTAAAAATCTTTTGACTGGAATAAACAAGAAAAATGGCTGGCAATAATGTGGACAAATGTCCTGAACATAAAATTATACTGTAGCAGATATGGACCAGACTGTCCAGTTCCATGACAACATTGCTCATGATAAGTATAATTATATACCATTTTATTCTAAAAAAAACTCCATAACAAATAAAACCAATATATATTTTACATAATTACCATAAATTCATATGGGATACTATGACAAGTATTAATTGTTTTTTCAAATTGTTTTTTCAAATTTAACCTACATCTCATTTTTATTTTTTCCTATAAAAATTCCATCTTTTTTCTGTAAAAGGCTCATATTTCCAGAATTAGTAACCTTAAATCATGGAATTTATTGAATAATTTACATTTTCCGTGAGTAGATCCATAAAAGGCTTATTTTTATGGGTTTTTACAGGAATAATGGATAAAATTCTTTACAGTCAGCTCTCGTTATAACGAATTTTGATATAACGAATTATTTGGTACAACGAATCTTTAGTGTTGTACCAATTTTAACATATAAAAAATTTGCTATAACGAATATTACTAATTAAATGCTGTATATTGTTTAACAAAGTAAGTCTATAAACTGTATATAATAAAATAACTCTTTTTATACCGAATTTCTTTTTATAACGAACTTTTTTAAATACAATGATGATATTTTGTATAATATATGTTGTACATTATCATAATATACCACAATATACAGTACCAAAGCTTCATTTACCAGATTTTCCCATTATATCGAAATTCGCTATATTTTATTAATGAATTTTCTTATAATGAAGGCCAAACCACCAACTTCATTATATCAAGAGCTGACTTTTATTAGTCTACAGTCAGAACTCGATATAACGAACCCTCTGGTTTGATAGTTTTGGTTCATTATAATGAAGATTTAAAAAAATGAGTTTTTCTTGATATACTGATTTAAATAGTAAATAATGTAAAAATTCGCTATACAGAAAAATTATTAAAAAAAATTTCATTGTTGTATTTACATATTCATGTATGAATACATTATTTATTTATTTTGTATTACATTATTCATTATTTTTATGTTTCACTCATAAAATATTCCCATAAAGTTCCATTATTGTAAGTTATTTTTTTTTTAAAAAAAAATTTCCTAATTAAAGTTGATAAATTCATCCATACTTAATTGAATTGAAGATTCTGATTTATATCTCAATACCTTACACCTAATACCTTTTAAAATTCTCAATTCTTCATTAGTCACTTCAAAATTTTCTAGTGGGAAATTATGTAAATTAATCAAGTTTTCTATATTAATCAGTGCTTCTGTCAAGGAAATAACAGGAATAATTTCTTCTTCATCTTGCAAATCATCTGCACTTGGGTTTGGTTTTACTGTTTCAACAATTTCATTATCTAATAAAAAGCAACCATTGCTGTTAATTTTATCAGCATTTATATAATCCAATGCAGATAATGAATCATCAAATGGTAATTTTCAGATCATATCTTTCAAATCCTTTTGATCTTTCTTTTCAATCAATTTAATAATAGCATTAACATCATCATTTATTAATTCGTACATATAAATATATAATAACAACATTTAATATAATAACATTAAATTTATAATAGATAATATTTTAGTATGATTATAAACTTTTTAGTATAATAAAGATTTATAAATTTTACAATTTTTGAAAATTTTTTTTTAAAAATTAATTGTGTATAAAAAAAACACTTCTGCACATTATTTTTAAATCATGTGCGCGTTCCGCATGTGATTTAAAATTTGAAATTCCAACACTGGTCCAAGTTCTAATTTGGCAATCTGGACCGAAAATTAGGATTGGTCCAGTTTGAGTTGATGCTTCAACCTATCAATCTCTGCTAAAAGCGCGGAAGACTGGTCTCTTAAATATAATCCTATCTCAGACATTACACCTTCATCTAAAACGTTGGGTTCCTTGTACTTGGATTTTTCATATGCATATTCATTTTTATAAAACAATAGAAAATCTTTGATCGACAATAAAATCCCTTTATTTATGTTTACCCCCACGTGAGGAGCTAGAGCCAGGGTCAAATTGCATAATTTTAAATATTGTTTAATTTGAACTTCAGTTTCATCGCCGACTTGATATTTTGGTATAAAGACCGGAACGGCAGTTGCCAAATAGTTTTTATTTTGTAAGATACGTTTTTTTGCCTGCTCGTAACTTTGGATGGCTTTAGAGTCTCCATTGGCAATCTGCCCGTGCAAAACGTCTTCTAAAAGCGATGGATCACCCAAAAAACGCTTCTCTACATCCTGTAAAGTCACATCCAGATAAAAATCGCTAGAAAGACTGAGTTCTTCACTAATGCTATTTTTTATGAATTTTTTTATTTCTGAAGAATCTTTATCACTGACAATTCCAACATCGACATCCGAACCATAGGTTATTTCACCGCGAGAAAACCCTCCAGATAATAAAATTAGCGTTGGACGATAGTTTGCATAAGCGCTTTTAAGAATTCGATGTAAGGTAGTTCGTAAAGCCTCACAGTTAGATTTAGCTAAAGATATTCCATGCCTCTTAGTAACTTCATCTAGCCTAATATGATAGAGTTTTAGTCCGGTATTGTATCTATTGATAGCTAGCCTAAATTGATGGGATTCTTCCTTGCGGTCATAGAAACCATTGATAACTTCCTCCAAGAAATCATATTCATAACATTGTCTGTTCTCTTGAAGAGTGTTGTAGGTAGTAGCAGTGGCTAAATCCCCTAAAATAAGTCGGTTATCCAAATTTTGTAATGCCTGCTCCAGAATATCCATGGTATCTGGTAAGCAATCATATTCATAGGCAGACATCAATAATTCAGTCGTTTTCTGATCGTATTCACTACCTAAATAGTGATCTATCTTAAAACAAATATGAAGCGGATGGCGCTTGTTTTTTGCTCCATCAGTAAATGGGAACCTAACCTTCATAACTTGTTGTTCTAGGCGATTGTACGCACCTAGCGTGTAAAATTCCTCTCCTCTCGCTTCAAAAATAGCTACTAACTCGCGCTTGGGTTTCTCAAATGGAACTGGATCTAGAGAATTAAGGTCCCACTTTTCGGGTTCAAAGTACCCTCTGAAACATGTCTTTACCTCTTCCAGTGAGCATATTGCACCAAATTCCTCAACACACATCTGCCCTCGGCAGTGTTCCTGTCTTTCGGTTAAAGACGCGGAATGATTTAATATTTTGGTTTTTTCGAAGTCTAAAATATAATAATCAGTTGCTCCTGACATTTGATTTACAATAGTGTTTCTAGGTGCCATGTCTCCCCAAATAACGCCTTTCTCATAAAGAAAATCCAAAATTTTTTGGGAATTCTTAAGGTGCTCAAATCTGGCTGTTGGATCCTGCTCATACAGCAAAACCTCCTCTAGAGTTTTCCCTTCTTGTAAATAGGCAAGAGAATAGAATTTGTGCTGCTGCTTGTCGGCAAAGATCGCGAAAGGCTTAATTAACTTTAGCCTGACTTTATGTATTGATGATTGGTCGGATAAATCAACAAAAGAATCCTGGTGTTTTAGATTTAAAATATCAGATATTCTATTAATATTGCGTTGCTCGGTTAAAAATCGACCCTTCTTATCTGGATTGTCACGTTTGGTAACAATAAATTGATCAGAGTTTAACTGAATTGACTTGACCAACCCCTTCCTTATTAATGAATACAGGCCAAGTAAATCGTGATGTGTATCTATATATTCGCTGAGATGTCCTTGAGACCTTTCAAACAAGGAAGTAAACGTATTTTTTAGAGTTGGGTCGGCTACATAAGCAATAATGTCTCCTGGTGTTTCTTCTGAAAAAAGAGCCTCAGGGTTATCTTTTAGGATAAGTTTTCTATTATGAGTACGATTACCTTTTGTAAGTCTTTGAAATCTATAGTGATCCACCTTCTGCTGAAAATCTGGCTTGTTTATTTCCGATTCTATGAGATTCACTAAATAATTATCCTGGGTTTCTAAAGCAAATAGATAATCTTCTATTAACCTAAAGTCACATCTAGATATTACTCTTTGAATCAGGCTTAAAACTTTGCTGGAATCAGCCTCTTTTGGAATTTTATTAGCAATGTAATTGCCAAGTTGCTTATACAAAGGTTGATTTGCGTAATATGATAATTCTTGGCTTGGAGTTGTACTCAATATATTAAGAATTGCTCCCACTAATTTTACTTTTCTGTCTTGCTCATTGGACACATTCTTTAGTGCTTCTAACATTTTTATCTCCTACCTACAAATGAGTTGAATGCAAAACGGAGTGTATAATCATTAACGTACGCTAATAGCTGAAATTGACCCACAAAACAGACAATTTCACTCATGTACGCTGGGGGAGTTATTTTATGTCTATCTATTGTGATCATCTGGGAAATCACAGCCTTCCGAGAATACTTCCGAGAATACATCAAACAATATCATGCGAAAAGCCTTTGTATATCAATTAATAAATGAAAAATGGTCTGATCATCTGTGTAACCCCACTTTCATGATAAACTGATTTAGAAAGTATACAATCCGATTATGCATTCTTCAACAATATCTAAAATCAATAAAATTTATTTCAGAACTAGATGCTAATAATTCGAGCATCCACTAAAATTCTCTTGGCAAATGTAAACAATATATGACCATTTAAGAGGTCCCAAGGCCATGATTATATAGAAAACATGTAGCGTACGGTGAGCTATGTGCGTACGTATAGTGGTCAATGTATGGCAACGTCCGGTATACATCACCCTATAAAATGATTTGATTATGTCTAAGATATTATCACAAAATAAAAAAGCATTATTATGTTGCGAATCTTTTATTCCTTTTTACAGTATACATCACCCCACCCTACAGTATGGTAAAGATGACCATATATACCGTACGTTGATCACTATACAGACATACATAGGCCTCTATACATGACATGTTTCCGTCGTACTCCAAGGCGATACCCACTTCCGAGTTTAAGCGAGTTGAAACCTTTGCTGACATACAGATAAAATGAGCATGGTTAAAAATCTACCTATTGGCCTAATTTCACATGACGACCAACACCATGATCAACATTAATAACCAATAAAATTTATTTATTTTCACGTGACTAACAACTTTATCAAGTTATTAGGCCGTTTAGGCGTTACATCAACCGTGTCAACTACTAAAAAAAAAAAATATTGTTACATCACAGGTTTTTGTGTTCTACTCAACTGTCCTGATCTTACAAATGTATCATCAGCTTACAGTTGTCACAGACCGTATTTACTTACTAATAAAATAAAATAAAATAAATATTTGTTACATCACATAGTACATTAAAAATGTAAAATAAAAATAATATAATCTTAATATACTTAGTTTTAATTTTTGGCAAATATACCTAACATACCAACAGGGCGGACATGCTTATTATCACTTTGCCGATCATTTGCCGATCATATATATAATGATTATCACGTTTATTTTGAAGCTCCAAGCAAAATCATATTTGCTAGAAAAATTGTACTAATTATTTTATTTGGTAGTTTAGGATACCCAAAATATACTATAAAATTATTGTGGCAAAAAAAGATAAAGTTAGCTTTGAGCCAAAATTTTAATAATTATAGTATTAGCCAATCATATGCCGATCATCTGCTAATTTGACTTTGAAGCTTCGGGCGAAGCCACAGATGTTTGGGTGAAACTTGAAACTTTTATAGTATATTATTTAAGTATTCAAGAATCTATGGCTAAAATAAACATTGATAATTTTTAATAAACAAAAAGTTATCATTAAATACATGCTTGCAATTATTGTAAGATTAATATAAGGCTAATATTTGGTAAAATCTTCATGAACTATTTTATGAATTAATTTATTAATAGTATATAAATAAAGTAAATAAAATCAAAATTTTTATACATTATTATGTAGAGTTTGTAAAAAAAATAAACTCAACAGTATTTTTTGTGACAATATTGAACAAATGATCGGCAAAATGATCGGTAATATCGAGGATGTCTGCCCTGTTTAACATACCTAATATTGCCTTTATAAATCCTTCATCAATTGTATTTGTATTCTGAAATTCGTCGGTTTCATCAAATAATTCATTATTCTCATTTTTATGCATGGTTTCTATTTATCTGTTACCCTCTGAGTCATAAATTATCAAAAATGTTAAAAAATGATCTTTCTTAATAGTCAAAATCACCTATAATTATAATTTTAAAGGCTATACAAAGCTTATTTTTTTTAAAAAAAAATTTCGTCAAAAATTACATTGTTCCTTTTTTTGGAGATGATCAGCAAATGATCAGCATGATATATTAAATTCTAAATTGATTGATCGATATTTTGATCACAAAATTAAAAACAAACCAAAATTTGCGATTAAAGTTCAATTTTGAGCAGATGATTGATTGATCGGGCTAAACTATTAACCAACCAATTAGTTAGTGCTTTGTTGTTTTTGTTTATTTCCGTTTGTTTTTCCGTCAGTATGTTTTATTTACTTGATTAAAGATCATTCTACAGTTAAAATTTATTGGTTATAATTTTTAGTGTAACCGATCACAAATCAATTCTGGTGTCACATTAGGCCAGTTCATTTCTGTTTTTGGTCACAAAATCCGTTAGCCAATCTGAACATATGATCAAAATCAAAATTGAGGACACTGATCATTTGGTCGCAAAAAAATTTCAAATAACCAATCAGCCCATTTGTCTTGTTGTGCTTTGCCTATTTTAAAATATGATCAAAAAAATTCCACCTTTTTTTAGTTCGGGAAAATTGGGTTACTGATCGAGTTACACCAATTTATTAACCAATATTATTCAACTAAAAACTGATCAAAATTCCAAACAATCAGGCCTATTGTCAATCATTTGTAGATCCTATATCTATTAAAATATGTTCAGATTCAAGTTTCTCATCCCTTTGATCACGTTAACTACAAAAATAAATGAGAAACTTTGTGTGTGAAAAGCCCTTTACCAGTTATATATTTGATATTTTGTTTATGGTAAGTTTACTTTCTTAATTTGAAAAGTTAAATACCAAAAACATTTAAAACACAAATTTTCATTTATCAGTTATTTATTTAGAATTTAAAAAGCTATTCATTATAATAATTAGGGGCAAATTAAAAAAAAATCATTTTTGCGATCATCTCATGATCCTGTGATTCAATTTCAATTAACACTCCAAATAAAAAAAGAACGCCAATAGATCGTGAAATAATCGTAAAAACGATTTTTTCCAGAAGATGACAAATTTCGAATCTGATATACTCTGAAAAAAATCGTTTTACGATTATCTCATGATCTATTGGTCCAATTTCGGTAATCTTTTTTTTTATTTTGGAGCTATACAACTGAGTTACAGGATCACGAGATAATCACAAAACGATTTTTTTTTAATTTGCCCCTAATGATTATAGTGATTTTGTCCGGTTGTTGTACAATAATTATAGCTAGACATTTGAATTGTTATGATTTCATATTTGTTAGAAAGAGCTTTTTTTGCTCTTTCAGAAAAGTTAGATTGTCCAAATTGAATCACAGGAAGCTTAGATATTAATTTTTGAATAAAAAATTATTAATTAATTAATTTATGATTTAATTTAGATTATTTCTATTCTGTAAGAATGGGTACAATTTCTTTTTATTAGTGATTGGTCTGTAAAGAGTTTTTGTTGTTTCAAAAATTGTGAATTTAAAAAAAAAATGAAATTATTTTCCTCGACATGGATAGTCACGTGATTTATTTATTTTTTATTTTTATTTTTACTTATGAAAGGCAGATACATCTGTGAGATACTAAGGTACATAGAATATTTTAAAAAATAGACACATACACTATTGATCTATACTAAAGTACAAAATCCAACTGGCGGACACATCCTTCGTTAGAACGAACTGACTAATGGAAAACTAGTCGCCATAACAGTGAACGAGCAAAGGGAATTAGAAATTAAAGTAAAAATAAGGGGAAATAGAAGAAGTCGATCAAACATAAAAAAATAAGTGACCCGTAATTTCATTCGACCATCAAGGCCGCTACCTGTAAATACAGGGAGTCATCGGGGTAACTGGGTGTCTTATTAGAGTTATGTAACACTTGAGGAGTAAGGTTAGTGTTGATTGATGTGTCTTATTTCAGCGCACGTATTTTGACGGTCTTGGTATCATCTGAAGTAATATTTCCAAAATTCTCACAAATACGATAGCGAGGTGCTCATAGATCAATAACGGAAGAGTAATCAAGTTGAAAATCAGCATGTTCTTTTCGTAATTTCTCATTTGTTTCTTTTGATGCGGTAATAATTTTTGACGTCTTTTCATGAAAGAAGTCATTATTTTGTGGAACACTGTGGTAAAATGAGCGAGATCCTCTGTGATGAGCTATCAGCGCTCAACATGTTTAGGCATAGTACCATGATAGTCAGCTAGGGGTTTTAGTTCAATATCATGTTCATGTTTATAAGTTAATCGTTCTTGTATTAATTGTTCACCATATTCATCTATGGTAGATACGTGTGTTGTAAGTCGTGCCTTTTTATCTTGGTATTCAATGAATTTCAGCCAGGGCTTAGAACCTGGAGCTGAGTAAGACTGTTTTTTCTTGCCACTTCTGTAAATAGGATGATTAGGTACAAATGAGATTAAATGTTCTGGGGTCAAAATTATAAATTATCAACAGTATAAATCAATGATGTATTCAAAATTCGTGATGCTGATAAAGGTGGAACGTTTGTTGAAGAAGAAGAAGAAGCCACTGAGGTAGATGTTTGTAGATCAGAATTGTTGAGCACTTCTAGGTTAGTCTCCGTCTGCTGTACCACAGGAGAGGGTGTAATTGTCGAATCAGTAGTTAAAGGAGAATCACTAACTACTATATGTCACAAATAATGTAATTGCGCGTTGTAAAGCTGAATGAGAAGAACAGAACACGAAAATTATAATTATGAGGATTTGGTAAATTTGTTTTCTTGGAGTACTTTAGGTGTTTAAGAGATTTGTTGATTCTAAAAAAAGAAACTGGTAACGTTTTCCAGCTACTAGTTGATCCTCTAATGAAGTGATAGGGTTAATTTTGTTGGTTTTGAAGATTCTTCAATAACGACGCTTGAAGCGCTCTTGTTTTTTTCTCGTACGTGAATTAGGGCTATAAATGTGTTAAAATTTTCTAATATTTTTCTATGCATAAAATGATTACCGCGCACTAGCACATTTTTTTGACTATTTGCTTGGTATTTGAACGTATATTCGATTTCTAAACGCTTGGAATAAACGTGTTTATTATGGCGAGCATTCTATGCGGAAAAGAGATTATTAGCGTGTGTTTGTGGATGGAGTGACCCTATTTGTGTTCTTAAGTGGAGATAACCCAAGAACACCCCAAAAATTTTTGGTAACGTGACTTGACAAGTTTTAAAAAAATTTTCGCAGCTTTTTTCAAGAAAAAAAATAAAGTGAGGGGAACATTTATCTTAAAAATACTTGTAGTTTTTATAAAAAAAAAAATATATAAAGAAACGTTTAATTTAAATATTTCTTATCAGTTTAAGTGAATAAATTAAATAAATCTTCGTGTTATTTATATAATTTAATAATAGTAATAAAAAAGGTAATTTTTATAATGAATTAAATGGAAAAGTCTTGTTCTTATTCAAAACTTGATAGTTCAGTTCACCTTTATACTCCCAAGGTTGTAAATAAATTTTGTATTTTATTTTCACAACAAAAAAAAATACGAAATTAGAAATAGATTAAACTATATTTCAAGGTGAAATTACAAAAAAACATAGATATATTATTTTTAGATTAGTAGTACAAAGTGACATTACCGAAAATTTTTTGGTGTGTTCTGGACTTCTGGTGTTCTTGTTGAATAGGTAAAAAAATGTGTCAATTTGCATACACTTTATCACGTGCACATGTATAAATAAATGTCGATCCTATTCTATATGCACAAATACGTAATTGCTTTACAATTGTGTTACATTTGAACGGTTCAGTAAAAAAATGCGCTGTGGGCAAAAATATGAATCTTGACCCGTCACATAGATTAATCTTGACCCACTGCATGCACGTTATCAATCACATATATTTTACAATACACCATGAATAGAATCGACAACGTGCATGCAGGTGGGTCAAGTTTCATGTACGTGATGGGTCAAGATTCATATATTTGCCGCTGTGGGGCAAAAATATGAATCTTGACCCGTCACATAGATTAATCTTGACCCACTGCATGCACGTTGTCGATCACATATATTTTACAATACACCATGAATAGGATCGACAACGTGCATGCAAGTGGGTCAAGTTTCACGTACGTGACAGGTCAAGATTCATATATTTGCCGCTGTGGGGCAAAAATTACTTTCTTGACCCTCCTCGTATTACTTTCTTGACTTGGTCAAAATATGCATGATTATGTATGACAAAAATGTTCTTTTCTTGACTTGCAAAAAACATTAACGCATTGTTATTTTTCTTATTTTCATAATTTTTCAAGAGATATACACAAAGATTAAAATTTTTTATCATTAATGATTAATGACAAAATAATTTATTTTTTTTTTTATTTTAATATTTTAATATTTAGTTTTATGCTAGTATNTTTTTCAAGAAAAAAAATAAAGTGAGGGGAACATTTATCTTAAAAATACTTGTAGTTTTTATAAAAAAAAAAATATATAAAGAAACGTTTAATTTAAATATTTCTTATCAGTTTAAGTGAATAAATTAAATAAATCTTCGTGTTATTTATATAATTTAATAATAGTAATAAAAAAGGTAATTTTTATAATGAATTAAATGGAAAAGTCTTGTTCTTATTCAAAACTTGATAGTTCAGTTCACCTTTATACTCCCAAGGTTGTAAATAAATTTTGTATTTTATTTTCACAACAAAAAAAAATACGAAATTAGAAATAGATTAAACTATATTTCAAGGTGAAATTACAAAAAAACATAGATATATTATTTTTAGATTAGTAGTACAAAGTGACATTACCGAAAATTTTTTGGTGTGTTCTGGACTTCTGGTGTTCTTGTTGAATAGGTAAAAAAATGTGTCAATTTGCATACACTTTATCACGTGCACATGTATAAATAAATGTCGATCCTATTCTATATGCACAAATACGTAATTGCTTTACAATTGTGTTACATTTGAACGGTTCAGTAAAAAAATGCGCTGTGGGCAAAAATATGAATCTTGACCCGTCACATAGATTAATCTTGACCCACTGCATGCACGTTATCAATCACATATATTTTACAATACACCATGAATAGAATCGACAACGTGCATGCAGGTGGGTCAAGTTTCATGTACGTGATGGGTCAAGATTCATATATTTGCCGCTGTGGGGCAAAAATATGAATCTTGACCCGTCACATAGATTAATCTTGACCCACTGCATGCACGTTGTCGATCACATATATTTTACAATACACCATGAATAGGATCGACAACGTGCATGCAAGTGGGTCAAGTTTCACGTACGTGACAGGTCAAGATTCATATATTTGCCGCTGTGGGCATTTTGCTGATGGATTTAAACCTAATTGGGGTGGGTTTCATACGATAATCATTTGTGTGAATTTTTAAGTGAATATTATTGGTGCACGTTTTGGGATCTGCGAGCTCAAAAATGAAACTTCTTGAGCGCGTAGATCTTGTAACCAGGACCTCTCTAAGTGCACCCCCTTGGGAAAAATATTAGAATGTGCACTTAGCATTTATAGAGAGTAAAATAATAAGAGCTCTTATAAGTTGGGACCAAGTCCAAGTCCACCGTGCACTTAAAAGAGAATTTATATAGTGCGTGCACTTATAGAGGGTGCACTTAAAGAGGTGTCACTGTACATATTCTCTATCGTTTTATTTTTTATTTTTGTATTATAAACTACTTTTTTTTTAAAAAAAAAAATCCGAAATATTTTTTTTTTTGAAAATTATATAATATAAAGTCCATACCATACCAACGAAGATTATATCATACTTAATATCGTTTTACCGGTATATCACTGAGAACATAAATAGAGGTTTTCTTTATTGTTCGCGAAAGAATGTCTTCGTTGCTCGGGCTCGCTGTGAGGTTTTCCCGACCTGTACCGCATATTTTCCGACCGACAGTCTTTTTCTCGTCTACCGCTAGATTATTCAACAAGAGTCTTATGATGCGAAATTTTAGTCCAGGAGATGCTTAAAGATAAGGGATTACCCATAATCAACACTACGTCATCTTTTTTTACAAGAGAGGATGTTGAGGCACTTAAAGTGAGCTTCCAACCAGTTACTTCCAGTAGCCTAATCATTTCTCCAGATGACGGTAAGTACCTGTGTTACTTTTCTCTTAGTGACCCCGTACTAACGATTCAAATATCATTTAGTTAGTAATGACTTTCCGGAACAATACGTTCAACCCGACATCAATCAAGAAAAGCTTGATATACAAAATTTCGATATCAGAAAGTTTGACGGAATTTATGATAATGATGTTCGGACGTTTATTCTCAAATTACATTGGGTTGTAAAGAACGCAACGGTAATAACAGGAACAAATGAAACTTATACTGACACATTGGTGGATGATTTGCTTCGTATTGTTGGGTTGAATACTTTTCCTTTGGTGATTAGGTGAGTAGTTATGTAGAATCTTTTTGTTTATGATGCGTTCTAAAGTTTGCATTCCTAAACTCAGAAATCACCAAGTTTGCAGACTGTTTATTGGAGGGTATCCCTATATGTTTGCAAACCCTGAATATTCGATCAAGATGATAGACACGTCCATGATTGCTGTGGAGGTCGGTATATTTTATTTTCTGACAGGGCCATATCTATTTATTAACTTAACAATTCTCTACAGGATAAGCATCTGGAAAACATTAGTTTTTTGAAAGGCTTTGGGGAATGGCAAATTGTTGCTGAGATACTCGCTTTTGGTGACGAAAATATGCGTAGAGTTCAGGCGAGAGACCAGACCGTATATGTTGTTCGCATCATCTCAAAGTACGTTACGTTCTACAAGGCTATGATCCCTGCACCATATTTTGCGGAACTTGGCGATGGTCTGCCACAAAAAGAATCAGTTGTAATTTTAAGATGGCCAGGAGAAAGCATGCCAGAGGCTGGCCTGAATATTGCAGAACCAGATGGAAGACGTGAAGTGCTGGAAGTATTAACCAGAATTCGTCAACATCTTTTGAATGGAAATTAAGTATACTAGGAAAACGGAAACCATTAAGGGTATACGCTTAATAGTAACTAATTTACATTGTATAAATGATCAATTGGTCACCACTAACGATTAATTATGTGTATAGTAAATTTTGTTTAATGGCAAAAAATGAATCCATTTAGTCTATAAATAGTATCATTGAATTACTAAATTGCTACTGCATAAATCATTATAAATTGCTTAAATAATAAGCATCTTTTATAACCTGAAGTAATAAAGGTATTAATTAATCTATAATTAGTATTACTTTTAAAATTTTATGAAAATATCACAATCTATAATTTGATCATTACGGTAATTATTATTTCAATTATTCTTGTGAAGTACCAGCATCTAATAATTTAAAATTTTAATTTTTTGTTGAAGTGCCGCATTACAGGATGTATGTATTTGTGTGCCATTTAACAAACTACTTAAATATAACCCCGACACTTTTCCAAAAAATTTATCCACATGACTATAAGATTGTATAAAGCTGAGAGACATTCGTTTTATATTTATTGCGTGTAATGCAATATTATTCATTTGAGGGCTGTGCAAAAGAACATCTGAAGAGGTGCAATGGTTATCCAATGGGCTTATAAAAGTTATTAGCAAAACATGTTTGGTACTGATGAATCATATATACAATCGTGTGTAATTTGGCAACAACCCCGGCTACATTTTTCATAGTGATGCTAAGTTGTTCAATTCGATAATATATTTCTCAATTCTCGAATTTATATATCGTACCATCGACAAAATTTAGTTTTAAAAAACATCCGAAAGTGAAGATTAACGAAAGTGACGATTAACCCAACAATACTAGATATTATTGTGTCAATACTAGTAGTTCAGTTGATCTAATATTAGAATTTCGATAATTAAGTAAATGAACTGTATGAGGTTACGCGTTAATTCTACGATACTCACAGCAATTCTTGCTTAGATGTGACGCATTATACGTTATTATAAACTACAAATTATAATACGAGGTTTAACCAATCATAGTGATTACATAATTCCGAGGTTTTATAAGCGCGTTGCAGTTTTTTTCTTATCAAAAACTTTTTTAAAAGATAAATCAATATACATAAAATATTTTTTTTTTTTCGTGAAATAATATCGAAATGCGCCTTGGTGATTTTTCGCTTGAAATTCTTGTTGACAATGAAGTACTACCAGAACACCAAATACCAAGTAATAATGTAAGTTATTTGTAAAATGTGTGATTAAAATAAATTTTTTGTCTTTACTCTCGATTAATTTATTATGCTCAAATCATTAAGGATAATTTGTTGGTGCCTTTTTCTCGAGTTGCTGTTGATAAGATAGAATCAGTGAAAGAAGAATGGTAAAAAAAAATTATTAAATATCGTATTTTCATGTATATATTAATATTTTAATGTGTAAAATTTCTCATATTTATTATAAAAATATAATTATGATTATTATTTTTAGTAAAATTATGACATATGTAGCTATCCCTGAACCTTCTTGTCATTTTGCTATTAGAGTTGGAGTTCATTCCACTAAAGAACATGTCATTAAAGGAATTCATTTCGTTGATGGACAAAATGATAATACGTATATGGAACTTAATCCTACAAGTTCTAATGGACCATATAATTATATATATGGTTTTTATAATTATAACAAATCAATCTTTCATCTTTTTAAATTTGATTCCACGTATTGGTCAGATGGTAATATCTTTATATCAAATTTACCAAGATGTATCCCATCAAAAGTAACAAGAGACAAAGGTTCATTAGGAGCTATTTCAGTGTATTTTTATAAAGCTGAAAGATTACCAGAAAAAAGAATATCTTCAAAAAAGTATTCTAATAAAAATCAAAATATGGAATTGTCAAATTCATTTGATGATCTTAATTTTAATCCATCTGATATTATCTTCATTAATAATCCTCAAGAAGAATTATGTTTAAATTTGAAAACTACTCATTCTGATCCAATAGCAGTACTACATATTTATTATCAAACAAAGGAATGGATTGAAAATTATTATAAATCTAAAGCATCACCAATTTCCAAGTCTTTAGATAATAATTCTTTTATAAAAAAGAAAAAAACAAAAGTTATTAATGAAGATTTTACAATAGATGATTTATTATATGGTGAACTAACTGATGTTGAAAGTGAAAGTGAATATTCTTCATCTTCAGATAGCAAACATAAACAAAAAGATTATTCATTATTATTGAATAATAATTCTATTATATATGAAAAAGAAAAAATAGTAATGACAAATAACAATATTAAAAAGAAAAAAATTACTATAGTTGCTAATTCTAATGAAAGTAATAATAGTAGTAAAAACTTAGTTATAGGTAATAAGGATAAATATAATTATACTCATATAGCTGATAACAATAATTTTAATATAGATATTAAAGTAGATAGGAATTTTGATAAAAATAAAAACAAAAATATTAATGAGAAGGATCAAATTAATAATAGCAAGAATCTATACAATATAGTTAATAATAAAGAAAGAGCTAAATATAATAGGAAAAAAAATCTTGAAATTAATAATAATAATCCTAATTCAAAAGCTAAAATATATAAAAATATTTATAGCAAAACTAAAAACAGTATGGAAAATGACATTATTAATAAGAGTTATTATAATATTAATAATTCTATTGTGGAAACTAAAGCTAGTAGTAGAAATCTTCAAATTGAAAGTAGTAATAATATTGGTACTGATATGGAAATTGAAAATAATAAAAATCTTAATATAGAAACTAGAATTAAAAATATATGTCTTAATAATATAATTAATAAGACTTTAATTACTGAAAATATTTCTAAAAAACAAAATATTATTATAATTGATGATGATGATAATAATAATGGTGAAATGATATCTAATGATAATGAACTAATGTTTATTAGTAAAACAGAATTTGAAAAAAAGAAAATAAAAGAAATAATTGATTTAACAATAGATTAAATTTGTATTTGTATTTGTTCATCACAGAAAATTTATTAAAAAATCAATGCAATAAATAATTTTTAGTTTTAATAAACACAATAACTTTTTTTTTTTGTTTAATATAAATTCATTTTATACTATATTTTTATTTTTCAAGATAATCTTCAACTGGTGGACAAGAACATATTAAATTTCTATCACCAAATGCATCATCTATGTTTTTTTAAAAAAATATATAACTTTATTAGCATAATTAAATGAAAAAACAATAAAATTTTAGTTAAAACTTACCAAGTCTTCCAACTGATGGCCAAAATTTATGTGTTTTTAAATAATTCAGTGGAAAGGCTGCTTGTTCTCTGCTATATGCTTTATCCCATGTAGTTTTAATTAATGTTTCAATGGCATGTGGCGAATTTGTTAATATATTATTTCCTTTTGGTTGCTGCCCATTTTCAATAGATTTTATTTCTTCTCTAATAGATATCATTGCATCACAGAATCTGTCCAATTCTGCTTTTGATTCCGACTCTGTTGGTTCTACCATAAGTGTATTTGCAACTGGCCATGACATTGTTGGTGAATGGAATCCATAATCCTAAAGATAAAGAAAAATAGTTTTTATATATATTGAGAAAAAAAAGTTAGCGTGTATATATATATAGGATTACCTGAAGGCGTTTTGCTATGTCTATGGCTTCGATTCCTGCAGTTTTTTGGAATGGTCTAATATCAATAATAAATTCATGAGCACACATTCTTTGTTGATTGGTATATAAAATTTTATAATGGTTAGATAATCGAACTGCCATATAGTTAGCATTAAGCAATGCAATATGCGTAGCTGATGTTAATCCTTTGCTACCTGAAAAAAAAAAAAATTAATTTATTTTAAAATACTTCGAACAAAAATAAAATAACTAACCCATCATTTTTATATATGCCCAAGAAATTGGTAAAATATTTGGTGAACCAAACGGTGCTGCCGAGACAGGTCCAATACATTTATCTCCTCCAGTCTTCACAACTGGATGACCCGGTAAAAATGGCACAAGGTGTGATTTACTAGTAATGAAGAGATAAACTTTAAGTATGATTTTTATGTAATAAAAATAGTAACAAATTACTATACTAACACGCCCACGGGACCAACCCCCGGTCCGCCTCCACCGTGAGGTATGCTAAAAAAAAAGGAAAGAAAAAAAAACTGAATAAATATATGGATCATATATTTGTATTGTTAATAAAAATTTAAAATTTCTTACCAGAATGTTTTATGTAGATTCAAATGACAAACATCAGCTCCTATGCCAGCTGGTGTACATAATCCAATTTGTGCATTTAAATTTGCTCCATCCATATAAACTTGTCCTCCATTTTGATGAATTATTTCACATGCTTTTACAACTCCGCTTTCAAATACACCAAATGTTGATGGATAAGTAACCATGAAAGCTGCTAATCTGTCTTTAAATTTGGTAGCCTTTTCTTCCAAATCTTTCATATCAAGATCACCATTATTTTCACATTTAACAGGTACAACTTCCATACCTGCCATCGCAGCAGATGCGGGATTTGTACCATGAGCTGATACAGGAATTAAACAAACATTACGCTTATCATCACCCTTTGATTTATGGTATGCTCCAATAATACGTAATCCTGTATATTCTCCTTGAGCTCCAGAGTTTGGTTGTAAAGAAATACCATCAAATCCTGTTATAACAGCAAGGTCATGCTCAAGTTCCTAAAAATTTATTCAGTCATAAATATACCTAACGTAAACGTACATCGTTTCGTCAATTAAATTTAACTTACTTTAATTAAAATCTTGTATCCCTCAGCCTGATAGGCTGGCACAAAAGGATGAATATTCGCGAATTCGGGCCACGTTATTGGTATCATCTCTGTAGTAGCATTGAGTTTCATAGTACAACTACCTAAAGGTATCATAGAATGAGCTAACGAAAGATCCTTTGATTGCAAGTGATATATGTATCTTAACATTTCTGTTTCTGAATGATAAGAATTGAACACTTGATGTTGCATAAATTGTGAGGTACGAATAAATTTTTGAGGAATATTTGGTTTATCAGGTACCCCCAAATTTGACTTTTTGTTCGAATCTTTAGAAAAAATTTGAATAATATCCAACACATCTTCTTTTAGAACCGTCTCATCTAATGTAATACCAACAGTATTGTTATCTACTCTACGAAAGTTAATATTAGAATTCAAAGCTTTTTGGATGATATCATCAGCGCCTCCTTCAATATGAACATTCAACGTATCAAAGAATGCTCCATTTTTGATAAAATATCCCATCTGTTTAATTTCCTCCCCTAATGCAGTGGTCAAATTATGGATACGTTTTGCAATGGCTGTAATTCCCTATTAATTACAAAAAAATTATTACATTATCGTAACTTAAATTTTCATCTTAAAATTTTTCGAAATACCTCTGGTCCATGATATATAGCATACATAGCAGCCATATTAGCCAAGAGTGCTTGTGCAGTACATATATTACTAGTAGCTTTCTCTCGTCTAATATGTTGTTCTCTGGTTTGTAACGACAAACGATAAGCTTTATTTCCAGATGCATCCCGCGAGACCCCAACTAATCGACCTGGCATTCTTCGCTTAAGTTGGTCTTTGCAAGCAAAAAATGCGGCATGCGGGCCACCATAACCTAAAGGAACACCAAAGCGCTGACTATTGCCTACAGCAATATCAGCACCCCATTCTCCAGGTGGTATAAGTAAAGTTAGTGCTAACAAATCAGTTGCACAAACTACTTGGCCACCTAAGGAATGAATTCTGGCAGAAAAGTCAGAATAGTCATAAATGTTACCATCTGTTGCAGGATACTAAATAATGACAAATATATATATATACGCATAAAAATATATTCATTAATATAAAATATAACAAATATAAAAAAATTACCTGAACTAGAACACCGGCTAAATCATTTTTATGTTTGTTCTCAAAGTCATATTTTAATGCATCTCCTACTATTACATTAATCCCAAATCCTTCGGAACGTGTTTGAAGACACGCAATAGTTTGAGGATGGCACCTTTCATCCACAAAAAAAGTTTTGCATTTCTGTTTTCTTGCAGAAAAAGAGATTAACATGGCTTCCGCAGCAGCCGTTCCCTCATCAAGAAGAGAAGCATTGGCGAGGTCCATGCCAGTGAGATCCGTGACCATAGTTTGGAAGTTCAAAAGTGATTCTAATCGACCTAAAAGAATCATAATAATTATTATCACCATATGATTCGGCTTTGATAATTGTAAACATGAATAATGCGAACCGAACCTTGAGAGATTTCGGGCTGATAAGGTGTATACTGCATACAATCAATCGTTCATAATTATGAGTTCCACTGTTGTTTCTTTATTTCATAGGAGAATGGTTCACTGCTAGACCGATGAAAGTCGCTTTTTTCACGCGAAAGTTCTTTCAGGTTGCGCAGTACTAGAAAAACTTGAATAATACTTACTTGTGTATACCATCCTGGTGATTCTAAAATATTCCTTAAAATAACGGAAGGTACAATCGTATTTGCATATCCCATGCCTATATATGACTTGTACACTTTGTTCTTGGAAGCAATTCTCTTCAATCGTTCCATAAGCTCACTTTCCGTTAAACCTTCTTCTAAAGCTAAGGCGTCTTTAGATCGAATATTAGCAGGAACTGTTTTTAAAACCAACTCCTCCATATCTTTAACATCAATAGTTTCAAGCATTGCTTTTATCTCAGTATCTGAAGGTCCATTATGCCTTCGAGGAAACGTATCCAAAGGAGAAAACGCGTCATATTTTAATGGAGTTGAAGAAAATTTTCGAAATGATTTTGGAAAATTTGAAACATGACTTTTCTTTGATTTGATCTGATTCAAATCTAATTGTTGTACTGAAATGTTATTAAATCTTGTTGTAATAGTCCTAATTCTTCTCGATAAAACAAAGGGTGGTTTTGTTCCTCGATGAACTGTTCGAAAAAACATATTTGTACCGTATTTTATAGAATGTAATATGAAATATGAGAGAGCTCTAATGCATTTGAGACCGAAAACTCACTTTTTCTAATATTCAATTAAACTAAAAGTAGTTTTAAAGTTAATTGGTTTCGTTATTTACTTAAACGAGCTCTCTGAAACTATAACAAAAGAGTAACTTTTCAAAAATTACGAAAAACTCGTGAATTACGAAGCGAAGAGTAAAAATTCCGGTTAGGTTACCTATAATTATCGTGAAGTAAGTAAAAATCAGCCTCAGATGGAAAGCGCTCGTTACGAATTCAAAAGATTTTTTTCAAGCCATATTTAAATTCGTGTCAATTTGACGATAATCGCCACGTTACTGCGTTACTTCAAAAGAAATCGGCGAGAATCGGCTATTATTCGAAGCACAATAACTTTAAATGGAAATATCAAGATCTTGTCGATCGCGTAAAAAAAACTCTTTTGATCACGATAGTTTTAAGCTTAAGCCTTGACGAAAATGCGACTTATGCAATCAACCACTTATTTATTACAAAGACGTACTTTCAGACTTTTTACAACAATAAAACCAAAAAGGTCGAAAAATACTACTTATAATTTGTCTCGTCGAGAGAATTCTGGTTCTAGTGAGAGTATAAATACGAAAGCAAAACAACTTGGAACTTCACAAGTAGTTTTCCCATTTATCTCTGATATAGATAAGGTTTCTCAAACTGATGAAACATTACGATTGATTTTTGATGATGAAGATTTTTGGAACTATTTCACTTCTCGTTCACGGACATTGGCAGCATTAGAATATAGTACTTCTTTATCGGCGAGAAAATTTACTGGTTTATTTCGTAATCCTGAATTAGCAACACCTCAGGGTTTTCACTTAGAAGCAGAAAAGGCACTTAGAAGAGTGAAACTATTGGTTAATCGAATCACAAACGCAAATACTGAAAAAGAATTAAGAAAGGTGGTAAAAAATATGGATAGACTTTCCGATACACTTTGTTCGGTCATTGATACAGCAGAGTTTATTAGATCATCGCACCCTGATCCAAAATTTGCACAAGCAGCTAATTGGGCTTACGGATATCTTTGCTCCTATATGAATTCTCTTAACACAAATACCGAATTATATCAGGTACTTTAGAAGAATCAAAGATGTATATTTTTGGATTGTTACTCTATTAACCTTGGGAAGTGCCAAGGGTAATTACTTGAAATTTGCAATTTATTATCACAAATCTTTACATTATTTGCTTGTTACAGATTTATTTACGTATCTTGTATTCCGTATCCAGGTATTGAAGAGAGTACTTTCAACTCCAAGTATTACCTCTCAGTTCTCTTCAGAGGAATTTCAAGTGGCAAATACATTTTTCCATGATTTTGAGAAATCTGGTATCCATCTTCCTTCTTCAGATCGTGAGCAGTTTGTGCACTTATCAGATAAAATTATTACACTTGGTCGTCAATTTACCCAAATTTTACTTCAAAAACGCATTAATCGCATTAATGTTGACGTTTCACTCCTTGAAGGATTACACCCTGGATTAAATAAAGATACAAAAGGAAATATTACCAGTTTATCAACTAAAGCATGGGAGGCACAAATGATTTTAAAATCTGTAAAGGATGAAGGGGTTAGGAAAAAAATGTATATTGCAGCTAACTCTGCAACGAAAGAACAAATTATTTTACTGGAAGATTTGTTAAAAACAAGAGCTGAACTAGCAAAATTAGTTGGAATGGAAAGTTATAGTCATGCTTTTCTCATTGATAAGATGGTGAAAAATCCAGGTATGACGTACATGAATTCACATCCTCCGATCTGCAGAATGCATATAATATAAAAATCCGCCAAAATTATCACATGCATTCTGCAAATCTGCGGATATGTAATCTAATAATTTTTATTCATTAATTAATTTATATTATCAATTATACCATAGAACATGTACAGACATTTCTGCGAACCCTATCTGATCATCATAGGCCAAAGGCTCTTGCTGATCTTCGATTGCTACAAGAAGCAAAGCAATTATATACCGAAAGCGAGACTTTACCAACCGTTTATGCGTGGGATCGTTATTTCTATGCAGAGAGAATAAAATTTTCATCACTCACGCAGCCTGTTACATCAATATCACCATATTTTTCGGTTGGTTCAGTAATTCAAGGCTTATCTAGACTGTTTTCACGTTTATACGGTATTTCATTTGAACCTGCAGAGATAATGCCCGGAGAAGTGTGGCATGATGATGTACGTAAACTTGAAGTCATTGATGAACAAGAAGGAAAGGTTGGTACTATATATTGTGATTTATTTAGTCGCAATGGTAAGCTTCAAAATGCTGCACATTATACGGTGAGATGTTCAAGGCGTGTTGATGATGACGATGGTGTTGGTGATATACCATCTGGCGTTGATATAACAGAAATGGGAGAATTATCAAATTCTGACCATGGAGTGAAAGTTAACGGAAGAGCAGGAAGGTATCAATTACCTGTTATTGTCCTTACTTGTGACTTTATGAAACCAAAAGGAAGACAATATCCAAGTTTATTAAATTGGGTTGAAGTTGAAACTCTGTTTCATGAAATGGGTCATGCAATGCATTGTAAGTTTAATTGTTTATTGTTCATTGAAATTTAATTGTACATCTTAATTAAAAATTTGAATTATTAGCAATGATTGGTCGAACAAATTTTCACAATGTTTCCGGTAAGAAATTTTATATTATAGATAAATGTATTAAGATTAATTATCAATTTCGAAACGTTATTTTTCATTTAAGGAACGAGGTGCCCAACTGATTTTGTGGAGCTTCCATCAATTTTGATGGAGCACTTTGTCTATTCGCCAAAAGTTCTTTCGCTTTTCGCAAGACATTATGAGACACGTGAAACGGTACCATTAGATCTTATTAAATCTCACGTTAAAGCAAGATTACAGTTTTCAGCAATGGAAACACAATCACAAATATTTATGGCATTACTTGATCAATTATATCATTCAAAACTTGCAACCGATTCTAAGTCATTCGATACAACAGCTATTTTATATAATTTACAAGATACTGTTGAATTGTTTCCTTCAGTACCGGGTACAGCATGGCAAGTACAATTTGGACATTTATTTGGGTATGGTGCAGGATATTATAGTTATCTTTTCGGTAGAGCGTTAGCAGGCAAAATTTGGAAAGAAATTTTTGAAAAAGATCCATTAAATCGAGAAGCGGGTCAACTATTTCGTGAAGAAGTTTTAAAATGGGGAGGATCAAGAGATCCTTGGCTATGTATTGGTAAAGCATTAAATGATGATAAAATTATTGTTGGTGATAGTAAATCCGTTTCAATTGTTGGTGAATGGGTAGATTTTCTTTAGATTATGAATAAGTAAAGTAAATCTAAAATACAAAACAAACATTTTGTAACTCATATAATTTACATTATTCATAATTTTCATTTTTTTATAATTCGGATAGACAAACCAGCTGAAATGCATTAATGGATTATCGTTACTGTACATACTGTACCAAATAAATTTTAATTTTTCATTATCTGATAATAATTGTGATTGTGTTACTGGCTTTTTATGGAAATGTTGTTCATTGAGGTTTCGTTTCCTACATAAGAGATGATCTTACTCAGCTTTTGCTCAGCCCGAAATATATATCTGACGGATCCAAACCCAAATTTCGTTACAAATACCTTAAAGAAATGATTCTCTTATATCTTGTAAATAATGTACAAATTTTCATACTATTGCAAGCTTTAAGATGTATCGAAAAAGGAATAAATAAGGAAGTAAAGTTGATTTTAAGAGAAGATAAAAAAAAATTAATAGAATATAATTGGAATGATAATTATACTCATGGAAAAATTGTTTCAATTAAAGAGAGTATTTGAGCGTCAAAATATATTTTTTAAAAAATTTCATGATGATATTTCCATATCAACAAAAATAACTCGAGAACTTACTTCTCTTAATTCAAATAATGAAATTAACTTGCAATCAAGCTGGCACAGCAGTTGGGGATTACTAAAAAATGATGATAAAGAGTTAATTATCAAATTTCATATTAATGATGAAATTCGAATTTTTCTTTTTGATAACTTTCAAATTGAAATACGAAGAATTTATTACAGTATCTAGTCATGAAGAATTTAAAATAGCATATTCAAAGAATAAGAAGCTAGAAATGTGGTATTTTAAATGAATTTGGCCCAATAAATTACTATAATCTTTGAACTACTATAATGACTTTTATATTAAAAGATTGGCATTCGAACATCTAATTTCTAAATTATGTATGATCAACTGATACCAAATCCAATGTCATTAAAATAAAGTCTTAAATAAGAAAAAAAGTCATGCCATTTGTAAAAAGTCCATATTGCAATGATTTTTTCAACTCTGAAGTTTAATAAACCAATTGCTTTCGGCAGAACCTTAATACTCATTTTATGTATATTTAATATCTGTAAAAGGAATCGCTTGACTTATTCCTATGAGATTTTTAGCCAAGATAACTTAGCATCTGGTATGAATTCTGGACAAAGGTAATAATTTTCAAATACCATTCAAAGAATATTGTGAAAAAAAAGGAAAATAAATTGCCTAACTATGTATTTTTACTGGTAAAAATTCTAGAGGAAATGTGCAGTGATCCTTGAAAATTAATATATTAACTAACTTCTGATCTATAAGCCTATAAATTTAATTTAAAAAATTTAATGGGTGTTTATTACTTGACTAATAGATATATAGATGAATAAATAAATAAATTCGTCTTTTCTCACATGTACAGTAATTCTTATTGTCTACCTGTCAATAGGGAGTAAATATTTTAATAATAATAGTTGTAATTCCTCACAGTCACGTCGTGAAAATTAACAGTTCCCAACTTTATTGATTTTTTTTAGGGAGTTACAAGAAAAAAGAAAGAAACATATGATGCTATCAAAGAGAGAGGGAACACCATATATAACAAGAGAGGAAAATTATTTTTAATTATTTGTCCATAAAATTTTTTTCCAGCATTAAAATAATTATTATAAGTACAAGCATCAATGAGTAATATGATATCCATTTTATTTTAGAACATCTAAAGAAATGAGAAAATCAATTAACATCATATGTTTCAAGAAGCTAATCCGAACTGACCTTATTATTACTTTTGCGGAATATACAGATTGTAAATATCAATGATCAAAATAATGGTGGGCATCATCTATCTATATAATTTGCAGTATCAATTTTGGAATGCTTTTGGAGGTTACGAATATCTGATCAACCACCTCTTAATTTAACGATCATCAAGGATGAGAATGTGCAAGAATAAATTATTTCGCAATTACTTGTTCCTGTAATATGTGTGACGTATTACTATAATTACTGCGCCTTTATTGATTGATAATACATGAAAAACAATTATAAAATGTCTTATTGATCATGAAATAAAATATAATACAGGTTGTAGCCTGCTACATGACGATGCTATTTATTTGGTATATTCTTTTACAAGATAGTCCGCTAATAATACCTTTAGTGAAAATTATATATACTAGTTATAGTAAACAAATCAAAAATTATAACGCAAAGTACATTAAATTGGTAGTATAATACTCACAATTAGTAATTCCATAAAAAAAAAATTCTGGTATGTAATTTCTCATACTTAAACTTAGTCAAATACGGTCAACCGTACGACCAAAAAATTGGCGTAACAGTTGATAAATACTCTCTAATCATTTCTTCCACATAAATTTTTTTACTGATAAATTCTATTTTTTCGAAGTACCTATGAGGAGTCTATTTTATTATTCATGTTGAATTCAAAAAGGTCTTAAAACTTTCTCAAGTTTTCTCATCCAAAAAAAAAAATATTTCTTTCTCTAAATTCATTTTATCACTTTACAGAATTATACTTCCAGCATAAAGTTATTTTGTTGTATTGTAGGTACAAAGATTGAAAACACTCTTGAAATTACTAGCGGATCAGATACCTCCATTGCGAAACTTAAGGACTTAATCTATGAGAAGAAAAAGCGCGTTTTTGAAAATGAATTTGATGCCTGCGATCTGATTCTATGGAAGGTTGACATTTCTGCTAAAAATGTAGATAAACTGAGAACTCTTGAACAACTTCTTGATACGAATGCTGAAAATACCATTATAGAAAAACTTGGCAAGATGTTAATGCCACTTTATGATATTGGTGAAATCTTTGAACAGAGTTCAAAGAACATCCGTATCATTGCGCAACCGCCTGCTACTGATAAGTATCTCCCAATTTTTACCTCTCGAACAAGAATTTGCAGTAACGAAATATCAAGTTTTGTCTGATGTTATTATTTTTTTTTTCTATCACACCATATTTATGATTTTTTTTTTTGTGTTTCTTTATAATTAGCACATAAGACTGTGAAAACAGGTAACACACAAACTATTGATTTCATTAAAGCAAAATTTCCCTATAATCAGATTTTTAATTGACCTTTAATTACTAGTCATGGATATGGTCTTAAAGGGGGCTAATACTTAGGGATGGGAAAGTTCGCCGATTGAGCGGTTCAAACCTGGTTCAGAACTAAGAACTGAACTGGAACTGAGAACCGGTTCAAACCGAACTGCGGTTCAGTTCGGTTAAACCGATCACGTGATGTTATACAATCCAAAAAAGGAAATTCAACTCCTTATAAAAAATGGAAATTGGATTACACAAAATTCAAAATAAGGAAATTTTCATGCAGATCATTTGATTCTAGCCAGAATTATTATAGCCATTCATCAGATTCAAACCAACTAGAATCGTTCCGCAGAACCGAACTGAAACCGAACCGCTCAAAATCGTTTTTTTGAGCGAACTAGTTCAGAACTGATTAAACCGCTCAGCAGAACTGGAACCGAACTGATAAAACTGTCCCCATCCCTACTAATACTAGTGATAATATTGGTAGAACTGATGATAATATGCCTTTTATGGAGTGTGACACCAATAAAGTGATTGCAAGAATTACAAGAAATATCGAGAGTCATCTTACAAACTTTAAATCCAAAACAGATTATGACATCCTTGTGAGCGGTGGAACTCCCGGAATAGGTATGTTCTTAATATAGTGTTCAAGCTAATTCTGCACGTAGTTATTCATTTATTACTAAATCTCATGCATAGGTAAAACTCGATATGAAGATGAACTATTCAAACACCTGGAAAATAATCAGGATTGAGTCCCTTTTGAGTGGAAAAATAATCATATTGAAGGTCTCTATATAGACTTTAGTGATGACTGCCAACTTGATTCATATGATGATAAACTAACCTAGTGTTTAGAATCGAATATATTCGAATATATTCGAGTATTCATATTAATTTAAAAAGTGTATTCGAATAATAATCGAATAAGTTATTCGAATATTATCTGAATATTATTCAAATAATATTAATAATTTTATTCGAATAACGTAAAATATTATTCAAATAAAATTATTAACATTATTCGAATAATATTTTACGTTATTCGAATAAAATTTTTACATTATTCGAATAATAACAACAAATTCATCCAAATAATTATATAGTTTATTCAAATAAATTAAATAAATTAATATGTAAACTAAAATTTTACAATATTTATTATTTGTAGTGATTATTTATTTATTAATTATTTACAATACAAAAATTAAAATTCAGGCGGAGGGAAAATACTACCTAATACATTTATATTTCGCTTTAAAAAAAGCATTTGTTCAACTAAATTAGAATCAATATTTATTCACTTATTAGTAATGTTATTACCAACGTCCGAAAAAAGTCGTTCTGAAGGAACAGATGTTGCACAAATACCCAAATATTTACGTGCAATTGAAGCCAAAATTGGGAACTTTTTTTCATGTAATTTCCACCACTCAAGAGGGTCTGTTTCTTTGCCTTCTTCATTTATTTCAAGTTATTTATCAATTTCTTCTTTACTACCTGCGGGTTCATTAGGGCATGCATAAATCATATCTAAAATTGATTTTCGAACCCTATGCTGTTCATTATGATTAGTAGGTTCCACGGTTGATGTCATATGATTTGTATCATGTGGTATATCATATTCGGGTTGGACATTTTCGTACAAATTTCTAAGATTTTCAATTACTTCATACCTTGCCCTTTGCTTCACAAATCGAAGTTTTTTAAAATGCGGATCAAGAAGACATGCCAACATTCCAACTTTATGGATGTCCTTCCAATAACTAAACATTGAGCTATAAAGAATCTTTTGAATATTCAACAATACGTCCTTTGTTTGCATAGGTTCAGTAATATTAATTTTTGTTCTGCCACGACCTGTTCCTGAAGTTAGATCAACAACTTCTATTTCTACTTCATTCTCATCATCAGCAATGGTAACTTCTGCATTATCTAAAATAGTAATTTCTTCATCAGAGTGATCAGATAAATTTTCCGTTAAATTATTTTGAAAATCCAACTCAAAGTTTGATGATGGTTGAGTTCCAGGTTTTATTGATGAAATTAAAGCTGCAATTGCTGGATACATCAATGAAATTGTACAATATTTCGCACCACTTAGTAATCTTGTAACATCTTTAAATATAGATAAAAGATTAAGTAAATCTTCTATTAATTTCCACTCGTCATCAGAAAGCATAATTTTTTCCAACTTCTCCCCATCTTTTTGTGCATCCTTGTTTAAATCTGATTTGAGTTTACCTGGCAAGAATTTTATAGCTCGTTTAAGCTCAATTAAACGTTCCCATGCATAAAATGTAGAATTCCAGCGTGTAGAAACATCTCCAATTACATGCTTTATTGAAGTATATCTGAGAAACTCTTGCGCAGTATGTAAACGTTCACGTTGTTTTGGTTATATATTAAAAAAATTAATCAATTTCTTTGCCCGAAGAACTAGCGCTCTTACTAATTTAAGACCCTTTCCAACTGTTAATTGCAAAGTGTGTGCTGTGCATGGAAGACGGGATATAGATCTTTCCATCAATCGACCTGCTTTTTTTATGTTGCTTCCATTATCCGTTGTCATTGTTAATAGTTTAGACGTAATTTTCCAATCTGAAAAAATTTTATCAAGCAATTCCTTAATTACTTCACCAGTATGAGGATATTTTACTTGTTGCAATGCTAGTAATGATTCACGTAAGGTCCAATCATGAGAAATCCAGCTACAAGTAACGCCAATATATCCGTGTCGTGCTTTGCTTTTCCAGAAATCTGTTGTAATTGATGCTGCAATACAATCTACCTTTAAAAGTTCAATAAGTTGTTCTTGGCTCCATTTAAACGCTTCTCCAATCATTACTTTAACAGATTTATCACAAGGAATTTCAAAATGTTCATCAAGCGAAAGAATTAATTTCCTAAAACTCTTACTTTGAAGTATATAAAATGGTTGATTATCATCAATTATAAATTCGGTAACATTCTGCCGAATTTGTTTATACTCTGCTTCACTTTAGGCTTACGCTTTTTAATTGCTGTTCGTATATCAGGTTGGAACCGTACTTCTTTTAGGTGGGTTGCCTATATGCAAAAAATAAATACTGTATATAATTAAGAATCCAAAAATAATAAAAAATAATAAAATTAAATAAAAAAATTACTTCTTCCGCACTTCCTGGTTTATATATTTTATGCTTTGTCGCTAAATGGTGAATAAAGTTTGAAGTTGTCGACCTGTCATTATAATAATGACCACACTCTATCCCATCCTCCTTAATTACGTGACAAGTTGCTGAACTTGAGTTTTCTCCCTTCTTAAAATACTTCCACACAAAACTAGTTGGCTCTTTGGCAACTCTTTTTCTTTTTTTATTCGTTAGATTTATTTTTATGGCGTTTCTAGAAGCAACTTCGTTATCATCAATATCGTCAATATCATCAATAAAGTAGTGGTAAGGTTGCTTGTCTAAACCTCTTCAAAATCCTACGATTAGTTTCGTCAAAATTTTACTATATATTTATTATAGTTTCGGCAGAGTTTCAGCAGTTTTGGCATTTATAATAAGTTTCGGCAGTTTCGCCTTTCTCCAAAGTTTCGCCAGTTTTTTAATATAATAACTTTAATATAGTTTCGGCAGAATTTCGCTTTTCGGCAAAACGCCATCTTGCCTAAACCCCTAGGTTTCAGCAAGCAACCTTAAGTAGTGGTCTTCAATATAAAGTTCTTGCTTATCAATAATAGTACTATCCACTCTATTGGTTGCAGCCTTTGTTTGACGCGCATCATACTTGGCTTTTTTATTTTGTATACTCATGGCCAATATTAATAATACAGTAATTTTTACACGTAAAAAATTTTATTTTTATATCGATCTTAACCAATATAGAAATGCTGAATTGCTGATTACTAATCATATGATCAATGGTCGATCACTCAACACTTGATCATAGATGGATTATCTACTAATTATAGATATTATTTGAATATTATTCGAATAATTCAAATAAATAATATTCGAATATATTCATGCATGATTTCACGAATATTCGAATAATGATAATGCTTATTCGAATACTCGAGTATATTCGAATTATTCGAATAAAATTTTCATGATTCTAAACACTATTCCAAACACTAAGTCAGGAATTAAATACCTATTGATCATCTATCAGTCACTTATTGGTTATCTATTATGCATATGCTGGTGATATCTCAATGATAGTTTTATACTTATCTTTATTTATTATTTCAACTAAATTTTATATAATGATTTATTAATTATATAGAACTGATCATACCATCTTTGTTGCTCCATAGAGTCACCTAATTTATATGATGTAGCGCGAAGCTTTTCCAGTAATACCAACAAATTTTCCACCCCAATATTCATCACCGGCATCACACCTTACTGCGTTTTCACTGTTTATATTTATCTGAGATACTTAGTTTTTTTTTGCCTCACAAAATTATTTTTTTCACACCCTTTAAATTTCACCGGTCATGTAGGGTAGAATTTTAATAATAAAATTATTGGTATTATAATGGGACATGTGGCGCGGCTTGGAGTCACATGAGCTTAAATTCACCGCTCTCTTTAATTTAATAGTAATGCTATTTATATATAAAGATCATCAAGAGTTTTTTTTTAATAGAATGATTTTACTGCGCATTTATTTATTAAGTTACAATAAAGAAAAAATATAAAATATAAAATACAGGATATGATGATGCATACATTCTTTTACGAGATAGACAAGATAGTCTTCTAATAATACCTTAATGAAAATTATATATACTAGTTATAGTAAACAAAAAATAAACAATCAAAATTATAACGCAAAGTACATTAAATTGGTAGTATAATACTCAATTAGTAATTTATCAAAAAAAAATTGGTATGAAATTATCGTAGTATAGAAAACAGCTACTGATTTCTTCCATTTAGTATTGGTTTCATACTTTGTAAAAATGTATTACAGTATATGAATAAAGTTAATTACTATAGAGTAGTGTCTAAATGATCATTGAAACACTTACCCAGTATATTCTTTTTTGGTAAGATTTTACTAGACAAATTAAGAAAATAAAACTTCAAAAAATTTATATTCTTCTATATTCATTATTTATTATAGATTTAGATTATATATAAAATTATGATTTTTTTTAGATTTATAAATTTATTATTCTTAATCTAAATCCTACTCGATTTGATTATAGATTATAGAGTAGAGCCTTATTCTCTTTTTTATCGAATTTGCACCTTATAAATAAATTTCCCTCCAAAAAAAAAATAATAATAGATATTGATAAACATTACATCATGAGAAACAATTACCTTATTAAACTTATTTTTACTCTTAAAATGTATTAATAAAAGATTATTTATTTGTGAACATAAAAATTTTATTAATAATAATAATAATCGATAATATTTTTCTTCTTATTATCCATTTTATTTACACTCATGTTAATTATTAATAATAAATTAAATAATATCATATCATAATTTATACGAAATTATTAATAGATATCATAAAAATATTTTGTAATTTTTTTGTTTATTTTTAAATAAAAATTATTTCACATTGAGAAAAAAAAAATCAATTTAAATAAACCTTAAAAAAAATGCGGTTTTGTAAAATTTGAAAAAAAAAAAAAAAAAATATCTGCAAAACTCAATACGATTTGTTATGTACATAATATTGCTGAACGTTTAACACATGACTTTACTGTGAAAGAAATTACTGGTATTATAAGAACTAAAGATAATGATCCAACTAAAGTTATTTATTTAAAGATCAAAGCCTTTATTCTGTCCAATTAAAATATTGAATCCAAAATCGAAGATTTTGAAAATGGACAAATCGTTATAATCAAAGGAATATTTATAGAATGTGATGGATGGTATACTGTATGTATTTTATATTTTGTTATATAAAAAAAAAATCGTAATAAGCTAAAAAATATATTTTTTTTTTATATATAAATATATATGTTTTTTTTCTCAAATGATAAGGTAAACGCTACTTCAATTAAGCCATTAAAATTCTGGATTTTAATGATATTGGGTTAACATAACACTAATAGGATTAACTACTAAGACAGTCATAAATATTAACAGTTATTTGGCCCTTAATTTCTACGTAGAAAAAAGCTTAGGAAATTGTGAACTAACTGAATTCTGGGTTGAAGCTAGATATGATCCTAACAATAGATATTTGGCCAATAAAACAAATTCAATTAACCAAAATATACGTTCAACAACTGCGACCTTAGTAGGTGTAATATACTGACTATGTTCTGCCAGTTATTAATGAGATTACACAAGAAAAAACCGCTGAAGGAAAACATATACTACCGAAATAACAATAATTCCCGAATCTTTCTTAGATGAATCAACAAAGATCTAATAATAATAGATCTTACCGTCCTCCTTGAGGTTAAGGATGGTGCCGCAATTGATTGATCAAATCCGCAATATTGCGGATTTTGGAGTTGAATTGCGGTTAGTGATCCGCAATTCTGCAATTCACCTGATCAGTTTTGGCACTAGTTTACAGAACCGATTTAATAAAAAAACGTTTACGCAATATTTTTTCAACTAATTTAAAGAAAAAATATTGCGAAACGTTTTTTCAAAGTGCTTTTAATTAAAAGAACATTTGCTCAACATTTTTTTAATTAATTTAAAGAAAAAATATTGCAAAACGTTTTTTCAAAGTATATTTAATTAGAAAAAATGGTTCTCAACGTTTTTTTTAATTAATTTAATGAAAAAACGTTGTGAAACGTTTTTTTCAAAGTATTTTTAATTAGAAAAAATGTTTCGCAACATTTTTTTAATTAATTTAAAGAAAAAACGTTATGAAACGTTTTTTCAAAGTATTTTTAATTAAAAAAAACATTTCGCAACGTTTTTTCAAAGTATTTTTAATTAAAAAAAACATTTTGCAACGTTTTTTCAAAGTATTTTTTATTAAAAAAAACATTTCGTTTAAAGAAAAAATGTTGTGAAACATTTTTTCAAAGCATATTTAATTAAAAAAACGTTTTGCAACATTTTTTTAATTAATTTAAAGAAAAAATGTTGCGAAATGTTTTTTCAAAGCATATTTAATTAGAAAAAATTTTTCGCAACTAAAACTCTAAATGGTCCAGGTTGGTCTAAGTTGGAGAGTAACCCGGGACCGGACCGAAAAATTAGTTCATTTCGGTCCGGTCCGGTTTATATTAAAAGGAGAATCCAGGACCAGACCGGACTGGACCAGTTATTTTGGTCAGGTCCGGTCCAGTCCTATAATAAAAAAACATTGCGCAAACGTTTTTTCTAATTAAATATACTAAGAAAAAACGTTGCGCAATGTTTTTTCTTTAAATTAATTAGAAAAACATTGCGCAAACGTTTTTTCTAATTAAATATATTAAGAATAACGTTGATCAACATTTTTTCTTTAAATTAATTAGAAAAACGTTGCGCAAACATTTTTTTTATAATAATATGTTAAAAAAAATGTTACGCAACGTTTTTTTATTTAATAATTAAATAATCGCAACGGTTTTAATATAAACCATTGCGAAAATATTTATCGGTCTGGTCCGGTCCCAACCCGTTTTTTCAGTCTGGGTTAGATTTATAATCCGAAACCAGATCAGACCAGACCAAATATTTTGGTCCGGGTTGAAGCATCAACCCAGACCGGACCAATCCGAATTTTCAGTCCGGGTTGTCAGATTAGGACTGACCTGATTAGAGCTTTATTCGCAACATTTTTTTAAAGCATTTTTAATTAAAAAAATGTTTCGCAACATTTTTTCAAAGTATTTTTAATCAAAAAAAAACGTTTTGCAACGTTTTTTTGGGATTGCTTTAATAATAAATATTGCGAAATTGCAAATAATCTGCAATTACGCAAATGTTTCACAATTCCGCAAATGTTCCGCAATTCCGCAATTATTCCGCAATTGAATTGTGGTACTTTGCAGAATTGCAGAATTGTGAAATATTAGCAGAATTGTGGATAATTGCAGATTGCAGAATTGCAGATATTTAGGTTTAAAAATCCGCAATATTCTGCAATACCGTAAATCACAATTATTCCGCAATTGCTTATTTGCGGCACTATCCTTACTTGAAGTGTGACGTCAAGGCGAAGTGGATGAACCACCCTCGCTCAAATGGAATCAACTAATACCCATAATCTATCTGTTGCTTTGGAAGCGAACCCTATTCCCACTAATATGAACCAGATTCCTAATAATAAAATTTCAGAAGAAAATGATAATTGAATATTATCAATATTTTCTTTTTTTTTCTCTTAACCCTTTTTTTTTTCCTTTTTCAAATTTCAAATTTCAAATTTCAAACAATACGTCCTTAGTTAATTATTACTAAAATAAAAATAAATCAATCTATTCTGATATTTCTGATATATCAATTTATTCTAAATAAACCATAAACTTTTTTTTCTAGTACAAATTAAAAACAATTCAATAAAATTTCATTTTCAAAAGAAAGAAAAAATACTTTTCCCATAAATACTAAATAATGTAAAAATACTCTGTGTAACTAAAACTCGTATATATAATTATCCTATTGTGTAATACAAAATACCGAAAATGTCCAAAAGCTAATCACAAACAAAAAAAATGGTGGCTAATCTAAAAAATATACTGGTTAGTTAGTATATAATTTCTCATGCTTAGTCAAATACAGTCAACCGCAGTTAATTTTTAATGATAAATACTCTTGATGAATACTGATCATTTCTTCTGCATAAATTTTTTTACTGATAAATTCTATTTTTTTGAAGTACTTATAATCGTTATTTTAAGCCAGTCTATTTTATTATTCATGATGAATTCAGAAAGGTATCAAACTTTCTCAAGTTTTTTCAAAACTTTTCCAAAAAAAAAATATTTCTTTCTTTAAAATTCATTTTATCACTTTATAGAATTATATTTCCAGCATAAAGTTTTTTTGTTATATTGTAAGTACAAAGGTTGAAAACACTCTTGAAATTACTGGCAGATCAGATACCTCCATTGCGAAGCTTAAAAACTTAATCTATGAGAAAAAAAGGCGTGTTTTTAAAAATGAATTTGAAGCTTGCGATCTGATTCTATGGAAGGTTGATATTTCTGCTGAAGGGGTAGGTAAACTGAGAACTCTTGAACAACCTCTTGATACGAATGCCAAAAATACCATTATAGAAAAACTTGGCAAGAAGTTAGTATCACTTTATGATATTGGTAAAATCTTTGAATAAAGTTCAAAGAACATCCGTATCATCATACAACCACCTGCTACTGGTAAGTGTCTCCTAATTTTTACCTCTCGAACAAGAATTTGTAGTAACGAAATATCAAGTTTGGTCTGATATTATTATTTTTTTTTCTATCACACTACATTTGTGGTTTTTTTTGTATTTCTTTATAATTAGCACATAAGACTGTGAAAACAGGTAACACATGAATTATTGATTTCATTAAAGCAGAATCTCTCTGTGTGATCAAATTTTTAATTGACCTTTAATCACTAGTCATGGATATTGTCTTAAAGGGGCTAATACTTGTGCTAATATTAGTAAACCTGGTGATAAAATGCCTTTTATGGAGCGTAACATCGATAAAGCGATTGTAAGGATTACAAGAAATATTAAATGCCATCTTAGTAAATCTAAATCCAAAACAGATTATGACATTCTTGTGAGTGGTGGAGCTCCTGGAATAGGTATGTTCTTAATATAGTGTTCAAGTTGATTCTGCACGTAGTCATTCATTATCACTAAATCTCGTGCATAGGTTAAACTCGATATGGAGATGAACTATTTAAACACCTGGAAAATAATCAGAATTGGGTCCCTTCTGAGTGGAAAAATAATCATATTGAGGTCTATATATAAACTTCGGTAATAACTGCCAACTTGATTTATATAATGATAAACTAACTTCTACAGATCATCCACTGGTAAAAAAATGGTCTATCCTACACATATTCTACACATATCTTACATATATCGGGTACTCAAAATGTAGAAAATCATACACAAATAATACACATATCATACACATATCGGGTACTTATATATATAGTATACCTATCAGGTACCTGATATATGTATGATATATATATTAGTACCTGATATGTGTATGATATGTGTATTATTTGTGTATGATTTTCTACATTTTAAGTACCCAATATGTGTAAGATCTGTCTCTTATACACATCTAGATGTGTATAAGAGACAGTGTGTAAGATATGTGTAGGATAAATCATTTTTTTACCAGTGATCGGCCTGTGAATCACCTTCGTGTTTTACATCGAAGAAAAATATCAAATGAAGTTTGAAACCTTTCGTAGACTAATCGGAAAATACAGTGTCATTTTCACTATATCTGATGTTTTTGAAAGTATTTATAATCATCTAGGCCTCAAATCCAACAATCAACATCTCTTTGTATTTCTTCATATTGATGAGTTTCAGCTCATCGATGAGTGGGAATCTAACGCAGTTATGAAAAGGAAAATGGAAGAAAAACTGCTCTTTAAGGAAATGATCAATGGCCTTGTATTGTACATGTTTAGTCCATCCCATATTTTTGTCCAGCCATTCCTTTCTGGAACAGCACCACAATTTGTTAACTTTATGAAAGAATCATCAAAGGTTTCATTTGGATTCGTCAATTGCCCACAACTGTCGTTCAAAGCAATGCTTAAGATTGCAAATCATCATGCACAAAAATTTGACGCAGAAAAATTTGACTGTGGTGAGTACAAATGGATGCTTTGTCAACCATTTATCCAACTTTTAGAAGACACTGGAGGATTGCCTCATGCACTTCAATATGTCTTTTATGAATGCTTAGAAACTGGATGCAATAGAAAGAAATTCTTTAAAACAATTGATAAACAGAACTTTGATAACATCTTTCATAATGTCAAAACCCATCTCCAAGAACGCTACTAAGGTTGCTTGTCTAAACCTCTTCAAAATCCTACGATTAGTTTCGTCAAAATTTTACTATAGATTTATTATAGTTTCGGCAGAGTTTCGGCAGTTTCGGCATTTATAATAAGTTTCGGCAGTTTCGCCTTTCTCCAAAGTTTCGCCAGTTTTTTAATATAACTTTAATATAGTTTCAGCAGAATTTCGCTTTTCGGCGAAACGCCATTTTGCCTAAACCCCTAGGTTTCGGCAAGCAACCTTAAACGCTACAACATATTCAATCTCATTCAAAATAATAAAAAACTTGCTTTAGAGCTTCTTTATCACAGTAGGACCCCGAATAATACTGATATAACTCACAAACGGGTTTGCGTAGAGTTTATATGAAATTACTTTTTAAACCCATAAATTGAGTTTGCGTAGATCGGTCAATTTTGGAATAACTCACATATCACGTTTGCGTAGAGTTTATAAATATATTGCATTATATGTTGCGCAACACCATTAAGGATGGGTCCGTAATATATTTCTGAAATTTGCAATATTACGGATATGGTAATTAATTATATATAGTAACAAAAAGTAATGCATTTCGCATTATTTTAATATTTTTTTAATAGAAAAAAAGTGCGAAATGCGCTAGTTTAACAAAAAAATGGTGGATTTCGCACCATTTTATTAACATTTTAATAGAAAAAAGTGCGAAACGCACCATTTTAATAAATAATTGGTGAGTTTCGCACCATTTAATTAATATTTTGATATAAAAAAGTGCGAAACGCACCATTTTAACAAAAAATGGTGAGTTTCGCACCATTTTATTAATATTTTAGTATAAAAAAGTGCGAAACGCACCATTTTAACAAAAAATGGTGAGTTTCGCACCATTTTATTAATATTTTAGTATAAAAAAGTGCGAAATGCAACATTTTAATAAAAAAATGGCGAGTTTCGCACCATTTTATTAATATTTTAATAGGAAAAGTGCGAAACGCACCATTTTAACAAAAAAATGGAGAGTTTCGCACCATTTTATTAATATTTTAGTATAAAAAAGTGCGAAACGCACCATTTAACAAAAAAAATGGAGAGTTTCGCACCATTTTATTAATATTTTAGTATAAAAAAAGTGCGAAACGCACCATTTAACAAAATAAATGGAGAGTTTTGCACCATTTTATTAATATTTTAATAGAAAAAAGTGCGAAACGCACTATTTTACAAAAAAATGGAGAGTTTCACATGATTTTATTAATATCTTAATAGAAAAAATGTGAAACGAATTATATTAGTAACAAAAATTTTTTTGATTGTGAGTTATATTAGTATTATTCGGGGTCCTATCACAGTATTGATGGAATTCCTATTAGTGTCAAGGAATTTTTGGATGAAAGCAAGCCAGAATATACGATCGAAAACCTCAAGCGTTACGAGCATATCATTCTCAATTTCTGCAATAACGATCCTTCTAAATTTACTATTAATATGCCTTTCTTTTTTATCTGTATATACAACGACTGCTTAAACATTGTGAACAAAGATCTTGAGAAGGTATTTCAGGTACAAAACGATATGTATTGGCAATCGTGGGAGACTTTTGTAGCAAATTATGATGCATTTCGTACAAATCTGCTGATAAAATGTGGAAAAGAATCAGCGCGTCTGAGTGAGTTATATCGTGGTACCCATGGGACTCAATCAACATTAGATATTGAGGTGGAATTGAAGGAACTTTCTGTTTGTTGTGCAAAACAACAATTTCCATGTGTAGAACTAACAGATAAAAAATCAAATTCTATTGATTGGGTGAAGGGTGAGAATGTGATTGTTAATGGTACATCTGCTTTATGGGAGGATGCATTCGTCATCAGGAAAAAAGTTCAAAACAACAAAAAAAACAAAAAATATATTCTAATTCTTCACCAATGTAAATATTACCTCTCAGGCATGTACTACACTGCTGAAGATTTTAATAATAAACACCGTAAGAATCTTTTGGTCTCAGCTTCTACCACAAAAAAGCTTCAGAATATCCTTTTCAAACGCCAACACATAACAGTTGCTTTTATGATACAACCATTTGGCGACCCAATTTCAACACCTGATTGCCTCGTTATCATGAAAAGCAACTTTAAGTAGTATTTTAGTCCTATATTTATATCGCGTGCCACATTTTTCATGACAAGGGATATTAATCCTAATTTTTCAGACATCTCATGGATGATAAACGAAATTTCTGGGATTGGCAAAATCACTACTAGTGAAATTATTGAAACTTGACCACATTTAAGCAAGGATGATTTTTATATAAAGTTTAGTAAAATCAAGCGATCTATTGAGAATTATGAAGACAATAAACCTGGAAAGAAAATCAAACTTAACTTCCATCCATTTAATATTGAAAAATAAAGAAGTTTGTAATATTAATTTAGAAATATATATGATATTTTACAATTTCACAATAAAAAATTTTGGAGCAATTTAAAATAAAAATCTTTTATTTTAATTAAAATTACTATATATAAAAAATGGAGTAGCGGGACTCATAGACAGAGTGACTAAATATAGGTATTAAAACTGAAACTACCTGAAATCATTTTGGAATAGTATATACCGAAACTATAAAAACTGAAATCTGATCCAAAATTATATATACCAAAATATACCTAAACCAAAACTTTATTAAAAACCCAAAAGTTTAGGAAATAGCTTTAGAGATTTAGGTATCCATGTATAAGCAGGAGAAAGTATCTCGAACTCTGAGTGAAATTTGACATAATGAAACCCAATAAACTGGAACTGGCCTTATACCAGAACTTTTTTCTAGAATCAAATCACATATGGGGACTGGTCTAGCAAAACAAGGGATTTGGTCTCAAAAAAAAATTTTTAAGTTTATATGATAATTATATGTCAATTTCACTAAAAATTACAATTATAATAAAATCTCAAAAAAAATTTTTTTGGTCCCAACCCCTTGTTTTGCTAGACAGGTCTCCATATATTAAAATAAGTAAAATCTCGATAATGACTATATATAACAGAATAAATAACAATAAAAATGATTCAATTTACCAAAATACATGATAATTTATGATTTAAACCAATAAAATTAGCAGCAAGTGTGAAGTGACTTTGAAGACTCAGATAAAGATTCCTAGAATAGCGATTATAATAAAAATTCTATTAATAAATTTTGGTATTGCTAATTACCAGTGGTGATCATCATCACGTGTAAAATATTTTTTGAATTTCCAAAATTTTGGAGTCTCAATAAAATATATATATTTCAAATATTTACAAGGTATTTATTTTTAAGTTATTAAGTAAAAAAATTTTTTATTAGTACTTCCCATTATATATGAATCATCAATTAATAAACCTATTGTTGTAATTAAAATAATATCATTATTAGTAATTAATTTTTTGAATGAAAGAAACATTAAATTTTGTTGTTCTTGTACAAGTTAATTTCCAATCATCTATTACTTTTTTGAAAATTTACAACATTATTTTATTACTATCAATTACTTTAATTTTTTAAATTTGCAATAATTCATCTGTTACTTCATACTTTTTTAAATAAATCTTTATTTTCTTAATTTATTTTTTTCTTATATTCATTTTTAGATTTTAATATTTCTTGAAACAATTTATGCATCTTATCTTTATATTTATTAAATAATAAATATTTAAGTATTTATATGTTTCCTTATTGATCTTATTATTAAAGTTTTCACTTTTTAATATCAGAATTTTGAAAATGATAATTTTATTTTTGATATATAATTTTCCAATTCAATCTTTCAAACATTTCCATCTAAAATTCTAAATGTATATTTATCTGTAATTTGAATTCAATTCCATAATTGAAATTTTATTATTTAATAGAAGAAATAATAAAGGTAATGAAGGTAATAAATTATAATATTTTGTTAATATATAGTAAAGTATCTGAATAACTAATGGAGAAAAAGAAGAAAAAAAACATAATACTATTATTTATATCCAAAAAAACAATAGGATTTCTAATTTAATAGAAGTAATATTTTTAAGCTTTTGCATACTGTAATATGACTTTTAAAAATAAATAATAATCAATTATATATATTTTGAATAGTTTATAATTTTATCATAATAATTACTTTATTCTTTTCAAGTTTCAGTATTATTTTATTTATAAATAGAATTATTATTTAAAAATAAATAAAATTTATTATATTTTGATATTTTTATCAATTTAAAATATTTAGGTATCTTGTAATTTTCTTTTACATAACTATTTTTTATTTTTTATTTTTGTAGAAAGTACAGTCAAACCTCTATTGTATAATCACAACTCTTTGTAAGTATATATTTATCTGTAACTGACTTAAAATTAATCAAAAAACCCTTTTGTATTATATAATATTATAGTAGTCATTATTATTAAAAATATTCTGTAATAAACATATTGATTTATTATTATTAATTAACGATCCGCGAGTCAACTAGAGAAATTACATATAAAATTTGACGCAAATCATATACTAATTTGTCGTAATACGCCGACTTTAATGATTTCTGATGTAACAAAAACTATAAAGCATAGTTTACTGAAAATAACACAAACAATAAAGTAAATGTCACACTTTTATTTTTCAAAGCTACAAAGTGTAAAACTTTTTTTTGACAAAGTTTACCTTGGAAGCACGCGGCATTTACTATGTTATTAGGTAAACTAAGGTTTTAAAAGTACAAATTATGGAAATATTTTTATATTTCACTAAACTTTCATGCATATTGCTTTATTTTTGATATATTTTATTAGTAAACTATGCTGTAATAACTTCTAAACTGACAAATTCAAGACTTTTTCACATTCATTATACAAGTGATATGGTATGATAAAACTAGTTTTTGTCTTTTAAATCTCAGATCTCTTAGAAATTGGACTTTTTTCCAATGTTACATTATGGTTTTTTTTTGCATGAGATTGGTGGAAAAACTGTGGAAAACTATTTCATTAAAGCAAAATGGTGTTATTTAAACATTTGGCTAGAGAAATTCATGAACAACCTCACATTCGGAAATGCGGCTTTTAATTAATAAATTTTCGTCAAATTTTATTATCATTTTCGCTACTTGACTCGCAGATTACCAATTAATAAAAACTTTTTTATAATCACATAATTTCTTATTGGTTAAAAAATCAATCATTTGATTTGCACATTACATATATAAATTCTACAGTGCACAATATTTGCAGCAAATACTATCACTTTTTCATTTCATATACACATCTTCATTATTATGATGACTTAACTTAAAAAGCATTATTCAGCTATTAGTGATGATGTTAAGCACCAAATTTATGAATGGGTAGAAACTAATAATAAATAAAAATGCATATAAAAATTGTAAAATATTTTAATGATAAGTACCCAAACTTGACAATTGAATGAAGTACAATATTAAAAATCTTATCACAAAAAGACAAATGGAAAACTGTATTGAAAAATGAAAAATCTAATAAAATATTTAAGCATAAACCAGTTAAATTTCCTATGCTTGATCATGCTATGAATATTTGGATAGAGAATGTAATTGCAGGAAATGTTATTCTTACAAATTTATTAATTAAAGAAAAAGTGAGAGTTTTTGCAGAATTATTTGATATACAGGAAAATTAATTAAGCTTTTCTAATGATTGGTTAGATAAATTTAAAAAAGAAATAATATTCGAAAATATCATGTGAAATCAGAAAGTACTTCATTAGCATTTCTTTCAGAACAAAAAGCAAAATTGCATCAACTTTTAAGCCGATTTACTCCTGATCAAATTTATAATATTGACAAAATAGGTCTTTATTATAAGATACTACCAAATCAAACACTTTTATCTAAACTAGTTCTTAGTCAAAAAAAAATAAAATTTGAATAACTGTTCTTCTTAGTACTAATGCAATAGGAACAGATAAACTTAAACCATGAGTAATTGGTAATTCAAAATATCCAAGACTTCTCTTTTAAGTAATTTTAATTATCTTCCAATACATTATCATAGCAACCTTAAAGTATGGATAAATTCAGAAATTTTTGATAAAAATATTATTTTAATATAATTAAATTTTTTATTAGATTACAAAATAAAAAAATTCTGCTTTTAATTGATAATGTTCCATCACATTTTGATCTGAATTATTATTTACCAGAGGATGAAATAGAAGATCTAGAATCTACTAATACTAGAACATCATGTAATGGATAATAAATTCATTTTAATTTCGTATTATTTAATTTTACTTGATTTTACATTATTAAATAAAATTATTTTTTAGAGAATCAAGGTCACAAAAGAAGACATCAACCTAATATTTCACACCTTCAATTAACTCATGTTGAAGTAACTTTTTTACTGCCAAATACTACCAGCCATCTTTAACCACTTGATGCTGGGATTATTGCAAGTTAAGTTTTAAAAATCATTATAAGCGAAATTATTGCCACCACATATTAAAATTATTTGAAAAAGATAAAGATATTAATAAAAAAAAATTAATATTAAAGAATCCATTGATTATTTGACAGATACATGGAAAAACATTACTGAAAAAATAATCTATAATTGCTGAATAAAGACTGGAATATTACCTTTTTCAACTAATGAAGATATAATAAATATGATACAAGCTTAAAAAGAAAAAATAGATGACGAAGTGGCTAATATTAATCAAATAATCAGAGAGCTTAATGTAACAGAAGATCCTCATGGTGCTATATTAGCAAATGCAATTAATGATTATTTTCTTGATTTAGAAAAAGAAATCCCAATTGAAGATGTTTTAAATAATAATGATATTGTAAGATTAGTCTAAGAAAAGATGTGTGATGATGAAATTAATGAAATTGATTCTGAAAAAGAGGAAATTCAAATATTTTTAAATAATGTGCTTAAATCTATATAAATTTGAATAAGTTTTTTCAAACAACAACAGTCTGATGAGTTTAATATAGATGATCTATACATTTTTAATAAAAAATATTTTAAAATTACTAAATGACTTGAATTTCAATCTAAAAAGCAAATTCAAATAATACAATTTTTTTAGCAGATTAATGATGAACTAGTAATTCAATAATAAATAATTTTATAATAT